ACACTTTTCTGAGAATAGATTATTGAAGTGGAGATCGCTAAACTGCAAGTTTACCAGTGTTTTCAGAAAGCAAGCGCGTTTATCCACAGTGGAGAGAGAGCGCGTGTGCACAGGGTTGCCAGGTTGACAAAGATAAGTAACACACTTAGCAGATACTTCCGTATTGCGCAAGTGTGACGCTCTGTTTTGGGGATTACGTCTCTTTATATCAGGCAACCCCGGTTGTGTTCCTCTGCGGCCAGATTAAACCTGGTTGTAGCCTATATATGCTCTATTCATTCTTTTTTAGAAACCTCGCACGTTTCTACTCCATTTTAAACGTTGTGAAATTTTAAACAAATTAAGCGCGGTCCACTGCTGCACACGTGCCACAATATCGATACAGGGCCAGCTGTATCAATACTCGTATCGTCAAATCTCTGTGACGATACATCGTCGTATCGATATTTTGAACACAGCACTAACTTCTAGTATCTGTCATACGCGGAAGCTGTTCCGGCGGATGACGTAGAAGAAAGTCATATACACCTAGGATGCTTTGAGGGTGAGTAAAACACAGGCTAATTTTCATTTTTGGGTGAACTAACCCTTTAAGTTAGAATTCACTCACCACTCAAAACGCCAGAGTTCTTGAGCAGCGCTGAGATTTGCGTGCTCACAAATTCTCATATTATAACACAAACTGTAGACATTAGCCATTAAAAGATTCATTGGGCATATATTCATTGTGTAATAACAGAGCTTTATGAGATCGCAATGAACTGAGATGTCAGCTTTTTAGTGATTATAAAGGCGCTCTTTGCTCGCATTCTGCCAGGCCAAACCATGCACGCAGCAACCTAAGCTTGCTTTTCTGTTACAAAATAACAGTGGTTTGTAAATGTTGATGCTTTAATAACAAATATTTTATTGGGAGGGTTTATGCTGGGATGTTGTGGCTAGGCGACATGGAACTTACTATTTCATGTAAATTTCATGGATGGTATTGAAAAAAAAAATTCTACATAGGCTACTTTTATGTGGGTTTTTGCGGACAGGAGTGGGACAAAACATGACTGTTGTGGTGGGGAACAGGACAAGATAACATATATTTCTGCGGGAGCGTGACAGAATCCTGCGGGAGCGGGACTGAAAAATCCGTCCTGCACAGGTCTCTACTCTGAAATGTCAAGAATCCAACCTGAATCCTGCTTCCAGCTAGTTTAAAGGGGTCATGAATTAAGAAATCAACTTTTACTTGAGCTTTTGATATATAAGAGATCGTACTAAAAGAATATCCTGTAAGTTTCAGAACTGAAAACGTCCTTGTTACTGAAATAAAAGCTTTTATTGACACCTGGCCCAGCGAACGCTAGATCCTGGAATGTGCCTGTAATAGATAGGTTAAACACCGCCTCCACAGAAGAATATCAACGCCTAATTTTGTAATTCTGTATGTCTGATTCGCGCATGACATAGTAGGGAAATAACATAAGTGGAGCTAAACCGGATCGAGCAACCAAGCAATAAACATGCTGTTAAAGATAGCATAATATTGTGCAGTGCCTGGTTGTGGAAAAACACTGTAACTGCATAATATTAGGAGTGGGTGGTTGAACTTTATTTTTAATGAAGTCTCTGCTCACGTGAGTAAAACATTGAGCGTTTGTTCGCTTCATTCCACCGCGGATTCCTTTGTAAACAAGACACAGGTCGACGCTGGATTAGCAGAGAGACTGAGATTAAAAAGCAATGCTGTTCCGTCTATATTAGATCCGACAGGAATGGCGCAGCACACTTTTGGGAGTAAAAAATATTTGTACTATGTGTCACTATTGCTTTGTTCGAGATCGCTTGATACGTCCTGATTATGTGTTTGTGTCTAACCAAAGTCACAGTAGGCTCCAACGATGAAGGAAAGTTAGTTTGCTATGCAAAACTGTTATCCAATCATAGCAGTGGGCGTTTACTTCCAAGTATTCAATGCGGCACGTCCATAAAAAACGAGCGTTTCTCGAGCCGGACTCAAAACCAGGGTTGAAAATAGCCTATTACTTGATTGTAATGTGATGATTTTGATGTTTTTGAATGTAAAAATCATGCGAACGTCATAAGTGGACCGCGGACAACAGTACAAAATAAATGATAAAAAAAACAGTTCATGACCCCTTTAACATCTATTTCCCAGGTTGGGTACAATGTTTTTTTAATGGCAATCAGAAACCCCAATCCCACCTCTGAAATCTGCAATAAATTTACTTATCTATAATCTAAGGAAGTTACTACTCAGAAGCAACAGCAACTAGTGTGTGTACATGCACAACAACACACAGATAAATATCAAACATTTGCTTATTAAAAAAAAAAAAAAAAAAAAAACACAAGTCACAGTAGGCTCCAACGATGAAGGAAAGTTAGTTTGCTATGCAAAACTGTTATCCAATCATAGCAGTGGGCGTTTACTTCCAAGTCTTCAATGCAGCACGCCCATAAAAACCAATCGTTTCTCAAGCCGGGCTCAAAACCAGGGTAGAAAATAGCCTATTACTTATTGATTTTGATGTTTTTGAATGTAAAAATCATGCGAACGTCATAAGTGGACCGCGGACAACAGTACAAAATAAATGATAAAAAAAACAGTTCATGACCCCTTTAACATCTATTTCCCAGGTTGGGTACAATGTTTTTTTAATGGCAATCAGAAACCCCAATCCCACCTCTGAAATCTGCAATAAATTTACTTATCTATAATCTAAGGAAGTTACTACTCAGAAGCAACAGCAACTAGTGTGTGTACATGCACAACAACACACAGATAAATATCAAACATTTGCTTATTAAAAAAAAAAAAAAAAAAAAAAAACGAGATGAGAAAACTGTTTATCAGCTTTTTCTGTAGTTTTTCTCTAATTATTAATTATTATTACTAAAGAAAAATATTAAACAAAATCAGAAATATTATAATATTCCACTGTAAAAAAAAAAAAAATATTTAAGAAAAATACAATAATTTTATTGTTAACTGTAAAATTACAATACTAATGTTTATGGCCCTCTTAATGTCTTCATTTCTCATTACAAACTTGGGAAGATGGTTTGCGTTCCCAAATGCATGTAATAAGCAATCAGAGACACTGAAAACAACGGTTCGTGTGTAAAAAAATAAATAAAAAAAAGAACACAGTGACTCTGTGTTTTTGGTTTTGTAGATTCATTGTGCAACACTACTAATGGTAAAAAATGTTGGTGTGGTGATTTTTCTGTAATTTTAGAGGAAATGGAGGTAACTTACCCTGGGAGTGTCTGGACTGCTGAAAGGTGAGGGTTCAGCAGAGCAGTTCTCTTTACCAAACGAATCGTCCCGCTGTTTGTGTGCAAACTTCCTTTTCAGTGCTTCAGCGATAAGAGCTGCTGGATCAGATGAAAATGCTAAACCTTTACTTCTCCGTCTCCTTACTGGAGTTCCACCTGGAGATCTACGAATACAAACCCACGTTCAGTACTGAGCAAAAAATGTAGCTGTGCTTAAAGTTTGATCACGCTAGATCCATACCTCTCCACAGAACGCAGTTTGACTTGATTCATGTCTTTCAGCACCTCTAACATGGAAGGCAGGGCAGCAGCCACTGTACCTGCAGATGGACCACACTGTGCAAGCTTTTCTCTTTTTGCTGACTGTCTTTGTCGAATCACATCTGACACAGACACCTCCACACAGCTGCCCATAGCCAGAGGAGGAAGTGGTGGTGGAGGTGGCGGTGGAGGACAGACAGGAGTGGAAGTGAGGACAGGAACTGGTAGAGGAGTAGAGCATGGAGTGCCAGGATCAGCTGGAAGAACGGAAGGGCCTGAGAGACAGATGAGAAATGCATATAAAAAGATATCAGAGTGATGCATTAAAGGGTTCATATAACTTTTTTTATAATTTTATTTTTCCTCTGTGTTCCACTTATCAATTATTATTTGAGGCAAAAATTCAATTTAGATTTAATGACCATTTTATACCCTCTCTCTGACCCTTAAAATAACATTTGCATATGAAATGAGAAATGCTTTGCTACTGCCATGGGATGTAAGATTTTTCTGGGATTAAATGTAGTTTTTACATGTACCTCCATCCTTCAATATAATGTCCTTTATGTAATGCCTCAATGACACAGTCAGATTCACAAAATCAAGATCAGACTGAAAAAATAATCAGGGATTTTGTTATAAATTTGTGATTACCATAAAATTGCAAGCACTACACCAGTGGTATACTTAAAGTCTCCAAGTATTTAAATTAAGAAATTGTTTTAATTAAATTAATAATAAAAAATATCTTTAATGCATTTGTAAAAAATAATCAATTAATAAAATACTATTAATATAATAAAATCTGACTTGAAAAACACATTAAACCAAGATGTAAACTGAGATCACATTTCTTTTTTCCTCCTTAATAACGGTTGTTTTTATTGGTGAATGCACAGTTCTTGAAACTTCTGGAATCACAAAATAAACTGCGGAAATATCTTAGCCTTCAAATATTGTGTTTGACAACTAGGGGCCTTTGAGTGAAAATGGTTGAGAACCAGAAAATTAAAGTTCATCAGACTTTCTAACTTTAAGCACTCTAAAAAGAAATCAACCATGTGTGTGTCTTAAAAAATACAATCTGATCTCTGTGAACTTGGGTTTGTGGCTAAAATCCAGCCTTCTCATTACATGAGATCTTTGCTTTTGCAGAATTTCTATCAATCTGTCAGTTACGGAAATTGATAGCATATGTTACCTGCTGGAGCTGAGACTATCATAGCGATCTGTGCGCGTAGTCTCTGCAGTTCCTCTTCCAGAGCGGAGATCTTCTGCAGGGCCTCTGGCTGGGTGCCCTGTCCCAGTGCCCTGCCTCCCCTCTCAAAATAAACTGCGGAAATATCTTAGCCTAAATATCTAATATTGTGTTTGACAACTAGGGGCCTTTGAGTGAAAATGGTTGAGAACCAGAAAATTAAAGTTCATCAGACTTTCTAACTTTAAGCACTCTAAAAAGAAATCAACCATGTGTGTGTCTTAAAAAATACAATCTGATCTCTGTGAACTTGGGTTTGTGGCTAAAATCCAGCCTTCTCATTACATGAGATCTTTGCTTTTGCAGAATTTCTATCAATCTGTCAGTTACGGAAATTGATAGCATATGTTACCTGCTGGAGCTGAGACTATCATAGCGATCTGTGCGCGTAGTCTCTGCAGTTCCTCTTCCAGAGCGGAGATCTTCTGCAGGGCCTCTGGCTGGGTGCCCTGTCCCAGTGCCCTGCCTCCCCTCTGAGCCGGGACGGACACGGACAATGAATGTTCAGACCCCAATGAGGGAATCTCAAAAGCTTTCCTCAACGGGACGACATTCCTGTTATAAACATGGTAAGATGTGACGACACAGAACTTTCTCCATAAAACGTACAAAAATGACATACACACTTTGATGAAGACCAGAATTCAACCGGAAATCTCATAACAGGTGTAATTTCTGTTCAGAAGTATATTTAGCACTCATACAGACGCTGTCAGAGAGCTATTAATAAGCACATAATAGTGAGCTATTAATAAACACCAGACAATTGTGTTTATATCGCTTCTGATGTGTCACTACCTGAATTTAGTGTGGCTGTCCCCTTCATCCTCCACCAGCCAAAGCACATCCGCTAATGTAGGAATGGCTGGAGTGTCCACCATCACGTCAATATGGCCGTGTCTATTGAATGTCTGCAAAGGAATCTTGAAACGAAGAATCAGAACTCATTAGTGATGGTGCTCTTAAGTCCTTCAAAGACTTTTACGAGCTGCGCAAAAAATCGCGCGAATATGAACGTGGTTTTGCGCAGCTCGTCAGTGAACAACGGCTCTGTGTAGTTAATGCTGCTCAATGTGAAAGCCCGCAGGTGATGGAGATTTACCGCTGATTACAGAACCGGCTTTACTGATAAGATGCGCGTTAAATATCGCATGCGATTTATCGTGCAGCCCTAGTCCCCCCCCTATTTTGATAGCTCCGCCCCACACATACGTACGCAACCCAGGCAACGATTATTTCTGTGAAACAAAGCCAAACCAATGTTACACCGTGTACTATACACTATACTATAGAACTCATTATAATCAGTGATGCTGTCTACACCATAGATATATATACATATCTATGGTCTACAAATCCCTGACAGAAAACTGCTGCTGCGTTCTATTTATGATGTATTGACACAAATTTCAAATGATTTTCAAC